ACTCTTTCAGTTGTAGCATTGTAGGGTACTTGACCCAGAGGATATGTAGATGGCTGTCGGTCACCCTGGAAGGTTTTTGGTCGTTTGTTCCTGTTGTGTTTATTCGTATATAGAAGAAGATATGATTCAATTGGTGCAGTTGGTTTGTTTGTTGTTTTCTCTCTCTCTTTCTGTGTCATATTTTCGCCGAGCTCGGCCGGTTGTGCCGTGTCTTCTGCACCAGGATTTGCTGAAGCCGATCAGTGAGCCTCTCCTGACTAATCTATCTGTCTACCCGTCCTGATGGGACGCCCATCCATGGTGCATGGGCCCGTCCCCTTTCCCTAGAGGCCTGGACGCACAAGCTGGAGTACTTCACAGTGTGCAGCTTGACCGATCGTGTCACGCACGGTCTCACGCTCGCCATCGTACGCACAGAAACAAAAAAGAAGCACGGGCAGTACACTGGGCACTGCTGCTGAACATGTCCGACTCCACAATTCATTTCCACGCAGCGGGTGTACCCGATCACTGCTCCAGCATAGGAGTACATGCATGCAAGCACCATTGATCAAGAGTGAAGTGGATTATTGTCCTCTTTCGGGCCGTGGAGCATGCACGCTTTCCCACCCGTCACACCGGATGAGATGCACCCACTCACTCGCTCACTCACTCACAGGTGCACTTGTGACAGATGATTGAAGCGCGAGGGGACCCTTCCGTTGTCACATGTGATCCAGGTCCTTGACCCTCCCCCCGGCAGTCCAGAATTCGGCGGGCCCTGGCCGTCCGATCGACCCCCCGACGGTGTCGATCGATCGCATTCACGCCGACCCTTCTTCGGCAGGTCCACGAAAATCGGCCTCTGGTTTGGCTTTGGTGTCCTCGGCACATGCATGGGCTCCTCACACGCCGCTCACCGGCACCTTTCCTCTTCCGTTTGCCTTTACTGTGTCATTTTTTTTTTGCGAATAGTTTGCTTTTACTGTGTCAGGGATGAAGCTACTAGGACGGGCACAACACAAACTCTTGGTAGTTGTTGTTTTTTTTTTTTTGGCGGGAACTCTTGGGCCGTTGCACCACGAAGCAGGTGGTCCTCAGTGAATAAAAAATAAACAAATAAAATTCTAGTGCTGCTACATTATTGCTTCGTGATGAACTGGGTTGATGATGCGCTGGTCCATATAGTACGTACCGTGATGGAATAATCATGCATTTGTTAAGTTGCCCATGAGTGATCTCCACTGGAAACAAAAAACCAATGAGCGCAGTTACAAAACTGTCACTCACCCAAAAGTTTTCTGGTGGGTCTGGTAGGACTATCCCAATCAGAATCAGCAGAAGATGACTAAACAAGAGGGAAATGCCACATTGTGTACTGCGTTTGCAGTAGCGTTTCATGCACCTTGCTCTTGGCCCAGCAGCAGGCGACGGAAAGCATGCATGCATTTCCAGGGCCATCACTACTACTCGCTTCGTTTCTAAATATTTGTTTTTTAGAGATTTCAAATGAACTACAACATACGGATATATATATAGACATATATTATAGTGTAGATTCACTCATTTTGCTCCGTATATTGTCACTTGTTGAAATCTCTAGAAAGACAAATATTTAAGAACGGAGGGAGTACCAATAAACATACTTGACAAGTCTTGATTGAATATCTTCTCTTGCCTAGTAGAGTATAAAAAGGCAGCACATTTTGCATCATGATGATGCACTGGTCATACATTGTTAAGTTGCTGATGATCGATCTACACTGGAGACAAACCGAACTTTTATCTATTATACGGTTACATGGCGAATAGTTTTCTGGTGGATCTGGTGTGGGACTAGTACCTCAATATACACATTAAAAAAGAGCACTAAATAAGAGGGAAATGGCACCTTGCATACTGTATTTAACAGTGGCGTTTCAGGCATCTTGCTGTTGGCCGGGGTATCAAATGGAGTACTACATCATCGGATGCAAGCCCAGTAGGTGAGGGAAAGCATTGCATTTCCAGAAACATCACCACTTAAGTAGTACCTCTGTTTACTAATGTAGTAGTATTGAACTATCAAAACGTCTTATTTTAATGAACAAAGAGAGTCGTACTAAAAGAAATATACACGAGAACAAACTTAATTCCCGAAAAAGTAAACATATATTGAATCAACATCACATTGCTCCGCTATGAACTGGGCAAGCAACGCTATATCGTTAAAAATGGGCGGGCAGCGAGACATCATGGTGAGAAGACGGGGCCTCTTACATCATGGGTGAGATGTCGCTTGCACTAATGGGACGGAAGTGACAGGTTAGGGCGCCGTGATCTGATGTTTATGTCCGTGAGTAGCTGAGCTAAGCTGGCTAGCCAAGCCAGGCCAGGTTGGTTGATGGAAACAGACAGGGTATGGAAATCAAAAAAATCTATGGCTTCCTTCAATTTCTACCCTTTCCTTTCTGGTTCGCAAGGCAACAAGATGGAAACGACGCCATGTTATTTCCGTTTTCCACTTTGGGGTGGTTCATCTGCTCCATCTACTGGGCCTTGAAAACTCGACGATCTGCTGCTGGCTGCTGGATTTATAATCCACTACTTTAGGTCCATTTATCCCCTTTTGGATGGGTTGAGAGCGGCCGCCGGCTTATAATGCACTACTTTATTCGGAACTAGGCCATTTCATCCGCTTTTCGACGGTTGGAAAGTGTGTTTCTCGTATTCTTATTTTTTGACATGCCTACCTTTTGTCAGTGTGACATAACAGGTTGGTGATTTCCTACTATCTGCTGGTGTGTGTGTGTGTGTGGTCTTACGTTGGGGGTGAGTAATGAGCTGGATGTTGTTGACATGGCAGTGACAGAGACAAAAAAAAAGACACGTAATCGAACGTCAAGTGGTAGTAGAAAAGTATATGTACTATAATAAGTGTGACACGTAAGAAAAGGAGCATGAGTTGAGTTAGCTAGATTTTTTCTTTTGTTGCTGATGATGATGTTCCACATATCACCTGCCTGTCTCTACTCGATCGTGAGAGAATATATGGAGTATGTAACAAGACGTGTGCACAACGCGTTGCCGAGGCAGGCAAGCACAGTTCGCTAGCTAGGTAGCTGCACGGGGAAATTCAATTGTTCGAGCGAATCGAACGTTGTCTCGTGCGGATCTATCTATCTATCTATCTGCAGGTCATCTAGATGTTTTTTCGTCCACGTTGTGTCGCTGCGGGTAGATGGCACGTCCGGTTCATGCGCTTTTTGGCCCGCATCATCCCATTACATGTTGTCGAATCGAAAGCTTATTTATTCACCGGCTTTTCTCCCGTGTGTACGTGGGGAACTGGGGATCGATCCATACCTAATCAGAGCATCTACAGCCGCCACCTCAAGCCCCACTCAAACGCCCGGACGACCTGATTAGTGACCAGTACAAAGACCCGACCTAAGCGGCGCCTGAAACATCTGGTCCACTAACCGGTACGCCTTATATCGAGTCTGAATATAGGACAAATAGGGAGACCTGGGTACGTCCGCCACGTCGGATAGACGACGTTCCCGATGAAGTGTGGATGCCGCATGGGGCCACTCTAGCTCATCACCCTAGGGCCAAAGTCCGGCTATTTAGGCTGGACGGCGTCCCCTAGCCCTGGCCACATCCACTTCATTCCTCTCCCCGCCGTCAGACCGAGCCCATCCACCTCTCTCCCGCTCCGCCTCATTTTTTCCACGCCATGTCCTAGGAAATAAAGACAACGTATACTATGCTCACGCCGTAGCGCCAGTGATAGATTGAGGACGAGATTCGGGCGAGGGGCGCCGCCCGCATCGCAACCAGCCTGCCTCCGGACTCGCCAGAGCCAGAGGAGGAGGAGGAGGAGGCGGAGGCGGAGGAAGAGGAGCAGCAGCCGGAGCCGGAGCAACCGGTGCCTATGGAAGTGGCGGATCCAGAGGAGGAGGACGTGGGGGATCCAAAGGAGGATGAGGCAAAGTAGCCCGGAGGAGGAGTTGGCGTCGGCTGCGGGCTTTGACATGGAGAACGCCATGGCGGAGTTCGCGGTCGCCCAAACAGCCTAGATGGCAGAGCAGCAAGCCATCCTGGAGTCCATCCAAGATGAGGCCTATGTCAAGGCCAACCAGTAGTTCATCTGGCAGGGACGGGCGACGACCGACGTGCTTTTCGTCGAACTTGACACGGTAGTGGAGGCCGACGCGGAGCAGCCGGAGGAGCCGCATGAGTTGGAGTTGCGGCTGCCACTCATGTACCCGGAGCCAGTCTCCGACAAAAATTATGGTAGTATAGGTTAATTGATCTACATAGTACG